TTTTATTATATGTACTTTATTTTTTAGTAGAAAATGAGGAACAAATAAAAATTCAATTTTACTCGAATTCTCATTGCTGAAACTATATCAACATAGAAATATAACATAATAAATATTGATTGTTATCTAGAGTAAAAAAATAGTTCTTCGAATTATCAATAGGAGATTGAATATAATGTCAATCAACGAAATACTTGAGACAGTAATAATAGCTCAGTAATTCCATTGATTACGAATCGGATGGAGTGAGTATTCCGAAATACGTATAACATAATATTAGATGTTTATTAGGATATTTTATTTTGGAAATGTTGAGCCGTTTTATATAAGATATACAATACTTATCACATGTTTTGATTCTTCTGAATTAAAGTATTAATTTTAGTGTAAATAAGTAACAAGGCAATTCAATTTTAAAATATTTATACTAAGAATGCTAAAAAAAGCTTTTTAATGTTTAAATTGTATATTATTACTTACGATAAAATAAGTAGTTTTTAGAAATCAAAATTATTTTTAACAGCATACATTTTTCATTTTTACTCAAAAAATAGTTTAATTATTTAAAAACTAAATAAATTTATAAAACTATAAGTAAAAATTTAAATACGTATATCTACTAATACTATACGCAGACGTGGATCAAAGAATGATGTATAAACTGTATTAGTTTATCAATTAATCGAATGATGAAAATTTTAATTTTCTTCATAATTTGTCTCAATTGTTATATGAATATTTTAATAGAAGAGTGAGAGAGCTGTCAATAATGGTATAATTGTTTTAATCCCTTGTAATTTTGTCTCAAGACAGTTTTCTGTAGTAATACATTATTGATCGTACTATTTGATTGACCTGTAATGATATAGTTATTGATAATATGTACCACTGTACAGGATATTGCAATTAATAATGAACATGCTATAATTTTTGTTATTTTATTAAATAATTGACGATAGTAAAAATAATAATAATTTGTTGAAGGGTCTAAAGCATTGTTTTAGTTTGATAATCACAGTATTTTCATAAGTTAGCGAACTAATATAAACTTTTACTTTTTACACCAACTTCTTTAAAAAAACTAAAACACAATTTTCAAACGTTATGTTCTTTTCTAATTCATTATCCGTTTGCTACTTTGATAAACAATTTTAGGTAGTTTTAAGCTAGTCCTTGAGTTTAGAGAAATTAGAAATACGTTTATGCATCTAATGTATTTGTATATTGTTTTACTTTTGGATGATAATTATTTAATTGAGTGGACTTGTTAAGAACAATTTTGTGAAACAAATCTAAGTACTTACATGTATTATATAAATTAATTATATGTTATTTTCATATATTCATAACAACCTAAAAGTCTTAACCATTAATTAATAAATATAGGCTGGAAAATATAAATATAACCTAATTTAATTATTTGGAAGTTTACGTATTCGAATCATCTCAAGTCATACTTTTTTACCATTTTCAACTGTTTTATTGATTAATCCAATCGTAGAATAAAATACAATACGAGTATATTATGTATGCTTACCATATTTTACCTAATTTTATGGCAAAATATTTAGAAAAATAATGAGTTATATTTATGGAGAATATTTGTTATCAATTCCAGATAAATGTTAGAATCACATTTTGAACTCACAATTGATAAAAAAAAAAAAGTTATTTACTTGTGGTTACCACTTATTTACTGATAAACGGTGGGTATTTTCTATAGGTTTTACTAACATACCTATGTTAATATGTATGAAAAAAAACCTATGAGTTTGAATCCATTATTGATCAATTTTTTAAACATATCTATTTAAAATTATCCGCAGTGCCGTAAAAATCGGGTGTGCAGAGTGTGTATTGCACACAGGCACCGGGCTTCACACTATATTAGGGGATCTTTAAAGGTCAAATACCCAAAAATGTGTAATAAAAAGGGACCTCAAGATTTTGATTTGCAAATAGGCCTCGATTAGATAGTTTAGTTATGCAACTGATTATAGGATATGCATGGTTTATTTTATTTCGTACAAAAAAAAAAGAAATCTGTTTTTTAAAATTTTAATTAACCTATAAGGTCATAACTGCTCATGGAATTTGCTTGATTTTTGAACTTAGATTTAAATATTAAACTTATGTTATTATAGTGGAAGTTAGTAGTATCATTGAAAAGTATGTCAATTAGACGGTTTTTGTAAAGGTAACTTTTTTATTCTCTCTATTGAACGTGGAATTTTAATCCTTAAACCTTGTCTCTACTTTGAATCTCGATAAATTGTAAATAATTATACCGTACATTTCTCAGACTTAAATGTACAACAACGTACTTAATTTAGGTATAATATTAAACATTTAAGTAACTTATCTGATAGAGATCCATTAAGAAAATTTTTTTTTTTTTTTTTAATTAATTTAAATGGTTTTTTCTCTCAATTATCAGACTAACGGTATAAGTTGCGAGATGTATATTGAAAGTTAGTAAGTAGTAATGGTTTAATAATATATTAGTTATTTAAAATTAAATGGATTTCAGACGAAAATGTGAATTGTTACTTTTATTTATAAATGTGTATATATATATATATATATATATATATAATTAGGATATACTTTTCAGTTTATTTTGGATTGTTATTTTTTGAGAGAATATTATAACATTATATTTACACTGTTATCAAAATATTCTGTATTCAGATTTTTCTAGGTATAATGATGTACGTAGTAGGTAAACACTTGCACACGTTCAATAAACTGTTACAACTGTTGTATAAATGATCAAAAAATTTATCGAAAATAATTTGCTCGTTAAGAGTACCAATGTCGTTACAAAAAATATACGTACACTGGAGAGTAAAGACTATTATTTTTGACATGTCTCATGGGTGGTTTGTTGACTTTTAAAATTAGAAAACGATAATAATGACTTTTAATTTTTAATTCAAACTAGTAAATCAATCAAATCACGTTAGAAAAAATATGCGTTCAACCACGATTTTCAAAAATATAATATTGTCCGAAATAATACGCAGGTTAACATTTTATTTCCACAAGTGTTTTGCAATCAACATTTTCTTGCTGTAATTCAGATTGCATCTATTTAAAATAAACTCCCTATCGTTTTTTTATGTTTTCTTTAATTGTTTGATAGAAAATTCAACTACATAATACGAGTATAATACACGAGTATACATGTACACCTATGTATACAACATACATTGACTGATGCATTTACGTAGTAAATATTTGTTGAATGAGCTAATGAAAGTTATATCAGGAAAATATTATCACTCAATATATAATACATAAAATTATACACTCCAAGTTGACGGCTGAAAGTGTAAATCATGGATTGGATTATGAGATGAAAATATTAATATAAATTTAGACAAAACTCTTCGTGAAACCGGCAGTTACAACAACAGTACAATAAGTTTATTGTACTTAATTGAAAAAAATGTGAGATACCAAAACTTGAGTACGGTTACGGCTAGTGGTGTATACAGAGTGGGGCTAGTGGACCGAAGCCCCTCCCATTACTCATATTTACTCTCATTTGTTTTTATATTTACCTACGATTCAAGATATAGTATCTTTAAATCACGGTTTTACATGTGTAGATAACTGTGCTTGAAATTTTAATTATATATCTACTTGTACTTAACTATTACAATTTACTACTGCATAGTCCATATCACTTTCGGATTAATATAGGGGGGAGGGGCAAAGGAGGCGGTTGTTCCTGACAGCGATTTATTAAGGGTGGCAATTTCTTAACGCCCAAAAAGCGAGTTTCAAAGTTTTCTTATGTGGTTATAATTTTTATGAAGAATTATTAATCGTTGAAAAATGTGTTTAACAAATGATAATATTATTATAATTAATATTATTATTATATCACCTACTGTAGAATTATCTGGTTAGTGACCATTTAGCGTATTATTAGTATGACCATATTCTTATTATAGCGCTCGTAATTTTCTGTTTTCATTCGTATTATCGTATCATTTTTGAGTATAAATTGTGTACAATATGTTTACAGCAGTAAACACACTGACAAAAATCGTGTTTGCTGTATACCCGTATGGCTGTATTATAATTAATTTATGACCATCAGATTATTAGATTTGATATTAAGTTTTAAATGATTTATTTGTACACTACTAAGCAACAGTTTTTATTATTCTATCGTCTATTCGTCTTTCGAGTCTCGTATACCGTAGTCTCATGAACTGTCAAATCATATTGACTGAAAAACCAACGGGTTTAATATTTCCCAACAGCGATATTTCTTGCATTAATATGATTAGAAAGCGCATATAATGTAGTGATGTTATGATATGTTTATAAAAAAGTAGAACAACTGAACAATTTTAACGCTGTTGTTGTTTATATACTTTTTAATTACGATGGGTACATTTCTTCGGCTACGCCGGAGAGAACAGTGTTCAGCATTGAAAGGTTCAAAACCATACTTAAGACAAACGACAACGGGAGTACGTCTAATGGATTAGCTACAGCAAATATCAACAGAAAAGAAGAACTTATCGAATTCCAAGTTGTACGAATATTATTTTTGTCAGTTTTTTTTTTTTTTTTTTTTGTTTTTCATCGCATATTGTCTTATATTTTTTGCTTAATATACAAGCAAGAACCAAGAAAGCACTCTCTTCATTTTTCATAACTAATCTCGTGACAGTTGAGTAATTATTTATTCTCAAGCCCCTCCCACCGCCATCGGAAGTGTCCGGCGTACGCCACTGGCCGGAGTAGCCGTGCTCGGACGCGTACGGCGTGTCCGGGCGACTCGGTTTCCAGTGCGCGTTTGGCCGCGTCCGAGGGGAACGCGAGGGGCGCGCCGCGACAAAGGGACTCGGGTGATTTCTGTGTCGGTCGACCGTCGGAGGCGGTGGGCCCGACACGAATCCAACAGAATGCGCCGGTGTCCCTGCGTGACCAGCAGCGCGTGCGACGCGGACCCGAAAAAACGTGAGGCCCGCGGCCCTGGAAAATCCAGTAGGGATCCGACCGTTTGCCGTACGCGGTACCGGTGCGCGCGCGCCACGTTTGTGGGTCCGCCGACGACGACGGTACGAACAACAACGTTACGGGAACATAATGCGCGCGCGTGATTTCGTCTCGTTTCCCGCCCACCGCAAATCCTCCGCACCGCCGTCGCCGTAAGGAACACTCGCGCCAAACCCGTGCGCGATATATCGCTGTCGTTGTCGTTTTTTCATTTTTTCTTTCCCGAACGGCAATACTGTAGAAATTAATATTCTCGTCAGCGTGCCGATGTGTTACTCCGGTACGTCGGACGAGTGCTGGTTCGCTGTCCGCTGAGTGTCGTCGGACGTCGAAAGAGATCACGACAAAAAGTAAGTGAATCGGCGGCGCGCCAGATCGTCCTGATCACCGAACAACAACGTTCCACGCTCCCTACCCACCTATCACGACCAATTTTTTTCGTTGTACAATTTACTTTTAACACTTTTAACGTTTAGTCAACTTGCTATCGAATTAATAACACTCTGTACCCCAGAAAAATATTCATACATTATCGCTGGCGAGTAACACGTTATTTACAATATTTCATATTAAATAGTGCATAATGCACTATGGTATGCACTCGGATATTTCAGTCGAAAATTAATACCTATCTGAAACAGAACTACGAATTTTTCCTGTTATCATTAATTTTTATGATGGCCTTTAAACGCATAAAATTTTGGACGCCCAAACGGCACTTTCCACATTTGACCCTCCCCCTCCCCCTTGGAACGGCTATTGAACACACGTCGGATGTCGCGTACTTACCTTGCACTCGTTGAACGCAAAGAAAACAAATAAAACAAATTAATTCGTCCATTCGTCCTTAGACAAACTGCGGAGAAAATCTTATGTACAATTTATATTCAAATCGTTTCCATTGCTTATACGATTCTCGTACTTATAAATTACTACGTACTATTAAGTATATACGTAACATTAAATGTCGTATAACGATTGACTATCGTTCTTTTTTCACCGATTTGAACTTTTGTGCCTTATAAAATATTGTGCTCCGTCAGTTTTTTCTTACTTTCTGCACTTGAAGTTTTAATACCGAGTTTACGATATCATGTTTGAATAGTTGTCACATACTTCATCATTTGTACGTTTTGTTTTCGTGTGTTGCGTGATGGATTGAATAAAATGTCATGTTTAATGATTTGGTGTTATAATTAAAGATACTCCCGGTGATAATTATTTCACGTACAACGTACAACTATGTTAAAATATCATTTTTTTATCACACTATAATTAATCCGCGTACACGTATTGTGCACTGAGTTTTTCTCGAGAGTCGGGTTTTGAATTCGGTGATTTATCAATGCTTTTAGAGCTGAAGGTACCTACTCTGGCGACCCACTCAATTTATTATAAGTGGCCCGACTCTTTTATCTCGTTCAAAATCTATAGCCAGCTCTTTAATTATTTTCATCTAATGATAATTTTTTCACTTCGAACTATTTAATTATTTTTCATTTATTTACTCCTACTATACGAGTTTTACATTAAGCCATTGCGCTTAATTTTGCCTTGTGCTATCTATATCGAAGGATAACAAAGGCGTGTTTAGTTTTAGTCAATTACGATAAAAGAACATAATAATAATAATAATAATGATACGAGTTTGTATAACTACGAGATAAATTTAATAGTTAATAAAATGTAATGTGTTGAATAATTAGGCCGTAAAGATGTTTCCTCGTATTTAAAGGTGTTGATGTGATGATTTCTTATAAACTCCTTATGTGATCATCAAAAATGGAAAAAAAAAATTAATCAGAATATCCTGTTACTTATACTTTTTATGATCGATTTATTTCTGAAAATTATTCAGCATTAAGAATTAATTATCACGTAGCAAATGGTTGAACTCGGTAAATTATGATTTTGCATTTATTAAATTAGGTAATTAGGTACTAACATTATTAAACATTATTAATTTAGTTTGTCTCATATTGTTTTGTTAACTGCGTTTGTATTATAACTTATATAAGCTATAGACCATTAGTATAACAATAGGCAACATTTTCATTGTCCAGAAATTATAATACTGTTCGATTTTCGCAGAAATTGTAAGTAAAACTATAAATTACCTGGGCGTTATAGACTTGTCTGAACTAGTTAGAGAATTGATCCCATAACAAATCAGTATGGCAGAATAAAAGAAAATAGTTTTATACTATTAGTTGAGATACAGATCTTTTTACTTGTATGTATAAAGTTTAATTTGTTTGATCGTGTTGTTTTATTATAACTGTTATATGAAAAAAGTATAATTATATAAACTTTGTTCATCAATTATTGTGATTTAAAGCCGAATATTTGAAAGCGTATTTTTTCTGTAAATTATTATTTGCATTTAAAATTATACAACCCATTATTATTGCTGTATTATATAGATTTTGTTTTACGTAATTAGACACTCGCATAATTATTATTATAACTCAATTGATTGTTCTCATTTAAAATGCAAAACGTTATAACGTTCTTAAGTAATAACCAATTTGTATGGTTTTAATATTTTACAATAATATTTTTTTCACTTTTTTTCTGTGATTAAACTTTTTTCTTTGATCAAACTTTTTCCTCTACTTTTTGTGATTAACTTTTGGGTTGTACACTTGTAACAAAAGTTTTAAGTAACAATTTTTCAGATCAGAAACTGGACACATTGGGTCATCTTTGTTTTCTCCGTAGTTTTACAATGCACGGTAAAACTAAACAAAAAACTTAGAAATAATCTACAATGTTGTCGTCCCGCAACCTTCTGTATTTGTTCTGATAGAATTAGAAATGTTGTGTTTTATGGCTTGAAAATATTTTATAAGACTAACCTTATGCCATTTTACCTTATATAAAAATTTCAAAAAGTTTTATTTCACAATATTTTTTAATCACGGATTTAATGTTTGTTACATTTTTTTTATTAATACTATTTTTGTTTATTTGATTGCTATGCTGTAATGTTTTAACGAAGGCAAAATAAAAAAATAAAATGTCTGTAGTATAATTTTTTCAGGAATATTAATTTTTAGAATTTTTATTCTTGAGGGTGTTTTTTTTTTCGACATCTTTATGTATTAAATACAGACTAAGTTGATTCAAATTAAGATTTTTAAATTTAATGAAATTATATAATATGATTTAAAAATGTGCACTCATTAATTCAACTAACACATAAAGCAAACTTATAAACGTATTCAGAGAATCAGTATTTTATCGGGATATTTTATTATTTATTAATATGTTTCGTTATTTGTAATAGTTGAACTAGGACTTAATTCTGGGAATAATAGTAACTTGAGAAGAAATTGTACATATCATCTGATATTTGTGTCATCATGATTGTTTAAAAAATAATATTACCTATTTCCGTTATAAAAATATTGGATGGAACTATTCAACTGTAAGACGCAGACATGAAGTAGGTACCTAAAAACAATGTAATATCGGTATGTAATTTATAGTACCTTGGTCGTATTCTATAACATATACTTTCTTTTCTACGCTAAATATTTAATTATCATATCGCTGAATCACATGATTATATTCATGTAAAAATCATTTTCAATTTCAATTTCTATGCATATATCATTTCCAACGCAAGTAACAATAAGAAATTATAGATAAATCATTTATATATTTTACTATACCAGAATTTGTCTTAATAAAAAATAAGAATTAATTCAATTAACAATAATTTATGCAAAAAGCTTATTTAATGTATTTGTTTTAATTAGTCCGTTTTACTATACTTTGAACATTTTCTTTATTTCATTTTTATCAGAACTAATTTTTTGTATTTAAATTATATTTTCAATGCATAATCTTGTCTGTAGTTTCTCAGAATATTATTTCTTAATTTTATTTAATCTTTATAAAATAATTTTTTTATTCGAAAGAGAAGTATCATTATACTTCTCTTTCGAATAAAAAATTAATTGCTAAAAATCCTAGATGGTTTTATTTTCAAAACCTAGACACATTTAATATCTTTTATTTTTATTTTACTTAGATCAGGGAATCTAGGTATTATGGTGACTTCGTTTTCAGTCTGTAACAGTTCTTATTTTCGTCTCCATGGATAAGCTAATATATATTACGCGACAGGTCATTGGTGTCTTCTAACATAAGATTATATACGCATTATTATATATGTAATTAGGCCGGAGTTCTATAAATGTGTTGGAAAATTACATAAAGTGGTGCTTAACTCAATTTTAGCAGTGGTTATAACGAACTATAGCTCATGCAGAATTGAAAATTGTAAGAAGTCTGTGACTGTAGTGATAGAAAAAACTAAAATGAAATTCAAACGATCCAGTAATTGGGTAGGAATTTTAATGAAACGAATTTGCTGTATAGTATTGTACATTTGACGTTAAACATTTTGTGTGGATTATACGATGGACGGATAAGAAAATTATTCGTCAAATCCGAAGTAAATCAAATACTTAATGACGGACGGAGAGCATAACCGATTTTTTAGAAAAATTTCAGCCATGTTGCAACAACACACAAATGTTTACGTGTATTTGTAAGTCGTATCAGCCGTTAGACGTCCAGTTCGTTGTCACACTACAGCCGTATACATAATTTATTATAATTGGCATTCGCCACATTATTTCGAAGCGGCGTGGGCACGCAACCCGGATCGTGGTTTCTACATTACTTCGCGGTAGTGGCGTTATTCGCGTGATAAATACCGTACTCTGTCCGGGAAAAATTCGAAGACGCTGCCGCCACCGGTCAACAATAAACGACGCGTATAATACGCGGTAAAGAATTGTTTTGACAACGCAAAGTCGGTTACGAACTTCGCGAGCCTCTGACCTTTTGGTTTGTGGTGACGGGAACGTAGGAGGTTGTGTAAATAAAATTACCAGGAGTTAAAAAAAAGTTGAGCTTAACGTTTCACTGCTGCTGCTGCTGTTGTTCTCGGGTTGTATTTGCTCGTTACCGTTTCGAGTACACTCTATGCGTGACAGACCGATTTAACGGATATTTTCGTGATGATACGCAGGGGTGTAATTCTACCGTATAACTATTTCGGGGGTTACAAGAATTTCCCAGGGTGCACAGCCCTAATGTTGCGAGAGCAAATATTTTTATAAAAACGCACTGTTATTACATTCCACTTATAAACAGTCAAAACAAATACATGGAAAACTCTTCTTACATGGGTTTATATTTTTCAAAGCTATTAATTTTATGTTGTTATTACTATAATAAAATACTTTCTTTTGTTTAACTCTCGTGGAATCTTTTACCGTGCACATTAGACAATTACTGAGTTTTCAAAAGGTTTACATTTCGTTATCGAAAAACTACAAGTAGAACAACATTTCGGGGCTTGAACATTTTTATACTTACACGCGATTATTTGCAACTCCTCGATGACGCCATTGTTAATTTATTTCGTCATATCGTCGTGTTTATGGTTATTCGCGCGCGTAGGTGTACCGCAGATCCGTCGTTTAATTAGAAAACCAAAACTACGTGATAGTGATGGTTCTAGAGGAAATGATTGAACCGAAATCCGCTAGTTATCTCGCAATTGGTTTCGCTTTTGTATAATACAGCACTTACTTAACATCGATAAGCTATTCAAAATTTCAACTCCTTATGTCTACGTAATCATACACACCCTGACGGTTGCAATACACAATACAGAGCTTAATTTGATAAAATGTTTTCCATGTATAATGCATTTAAAATGTTTTTCTTATACGCGTCGCCAGTTGTAAAAATACAAAAAAAGCGGTCGATCTCGGAGAAAAACATGAACCAACATTACTACTCCTTGGTTGCGACATTTCAGCAGCACGTTGTAGCTTATTTTATGTTTTAGTCTCGTGAACGATGCGTTTATTTTTCGATCGCATTCAATCGTGTTGGTCTGTGCTACGTGAAATTTATATTTGCTTTTCGCCATAAATGAGTTCAACACGCCAATGATCATTTTTATGTATTATAATTTTATTATTTTTTATAACGACCAACGTGTATAGCAATATAATGTTGCAGTGATTTTTCGACTTAATACGGAAAATAGAAAAACTAAAAGTCCAATAAAAATGTAGTCATATCTAATGTAAATTATATATCAATAATATTTTATACCAAAGAATTTGTTGAGTCATTAAAACCGTAGATTTGCATAATTGCGATAAAAACTGTACTGGTAAATAGATAAATGTTGTGTAGTTAGAATATATTGCGATTTATACATCCGTTAAATAATTTAAAATAATTCATGTTGTATTAAACGTCATAAATGATAATAAATTATAAATGAAAATAATAAGAATTTAATACTTTTTAAATATTTGATAAGATTATAAACAAATAAGTACTTTATAAAATATAAATGTTCATTATTAAGGTTTTCATGACTTCATAATTTTGAGATGCATAAATATAATTATAGGTACTTATTTAAAAAATATAATTAAATTTGATTTTAACATAAGTAAAAAGTTACATTAAAAATAGATTATTCAGCTCAAACGAGCAATAACTATTGCTCAATAAACGTATTATAAATATTATTTACTTTCAATAAAATCGTTTTCGTGGTAAAGTATTTAAATTGTATTTCATACAAAATCGCATACAATTACTATTTTTCTTTAACTTTTCTATAAATATTATATGATTAACTTTAATGTTGACATATACAATAATTTTCGAATGTTTAAATAGTAGTATTATAATTTATATTAAAATATAAACTTGTTTTCTAATATATAAATGATATAGAAATAACGGATAAACAGCACACTTATTATAATAAGTAACAATTTTAACGAGAGAAATAGAGAAAATTTATAATATTTTCAGATGTATTTCAATAGGGGTTCAATATTAGTTAGTAAACCAAAAATATGTGGACATTTTAATTTATATAACAATTTAATTTAGTTCAAATAATATAATAACAATTAATCAATTATTTTATTTGTTAAATACGAATTAAACGAATATATTTATAAATCAATCAAGTTACTTAATAGTTCACATTTCGAGTTTATTTAATTGTTTGTATATAGTTAAGTTTATTAGTTTACTAAAGTAAATAAGATAATTTTTTAAACGCTAATAAATATATATATATATATTGATATGCGTATGTGTATAGATTCAAATTTACTATTTCTGTTTAGATTTATGTACGTTTTTGATTTTAGATGAATAACAATTGAGTTAAAAAACATTGATATATATGTTTAATTTTTCATTTCCAATGTTTAGTAATTATTCGAGGAATATGAATTAGTATAAAATATAAAACTGTATTTATAACAAGAGTTAAAAATATTGGAGTATTGATAGAGTTAACAATTAATGGTTTTAAAATAAATTCATTAAGAATGGCCTAAAAATAACTCCAAACATGACCCAAAATATATACTACATAATTTTTTTTTTTCGTTTGTAGAAGTAAAAACTAAATATAAATGTATATGTATGTTTTATAAATCAACTACCGTGATCATATGTAAATATTAAATTTTCTAAAACAAGTATTACCAAAATTATATTTCGTTGCTTTTCTAGTAATGGTCGAATAGTACAGATGAAACATTATGTAAAGTCTGTTACGTACTACGAAAATGTCAAGTTAATATTTTGATATTCCCATTATTCACATGTGTCACGTTCCAAACACAAAAATCAAATTAAAAAAAAAAAAAAATGTATAAAAACATTATCTTAATAAAATTATAAAAAAAATTAAACTAAAAACTATTTAATCATTAGTACTTGTAAATTAACATATAAATAAACAAATAGTTTATATATATAAATAAATAAATAAAAGCTTAGACTGGAGTATTATTTTATTTTTAAAGTATGATCAGTTTCGAGTTAAAAATTGATCGTCAGGTATATAGATACAAAGTCAATAAAATCGCAACTGAAAATGAAAAATAAAACCCTGATTTTATTATAATAGGAAAAAACCTTTATATAACGGAACTTAATATGAAACTTTATAAATGACGAGCACTTTTATGACATTTTAATTTTTTAAATTTTTATTGTAAATTAAGAACAATTGTGGAATACCTGAATAAAAGTCTATATTATTAAGTTTCAATTTATTACATACATTATTATACAGTTAAGTATATCTTATCAGTCTAGTTGTTGAAATATTATTGCGTCTACGAAATGTGACTAATCGCGATTTTATTTTTTCATAATCAGTCATGACTTTATTGACTTTGTATATTTGAAATTTAAATGAATTTTTAATTTTTAACCATTTGTACTTTACAAATATCATACTCTAGGCTAAGTTTTTATTAATTCAATTATTTCTATATATAAACTGTTTATTTATTTATATAGGTATACTCGTATTACATTATTACAATAAGTGTTCATTACGTTGATTATTTTATTATTTTGTAACACAGCTAAATTAGCAAAATTTTACTTTATAATAACTCAGTTTTGACTATACTTAATGGTTTTTGATAAAATAACTTGTAAAATGAATAGATATTGATACGAATATAATTATTTAATGATATTATTAAACAGTATAAAAAAATACTAATATCTTAAATTATATACGTTTATAAAATGAAAACAAGGGTTTTCATTATTTTTGATTTTTTTATAAATAAGTTTAATGTAGGATAATATTGGGTTAAATTGTCAACATATTATTAATCACATAATTTTCCAAAAAATTAAAAGATGTAAACAAGCTGAAGTCTTTAATTAAATAGTATAATAATATTTTATCGCTAAAATTACTATCATATTTCACTAGAAGTAAGATTAATTATATAATATATTTAATACCTATTAAAAAACCAATCTAATAAATTACTAACTTACAGAGTAATATTTTTAAAATGTTACAACTTAGAATATTACGTAGTAAATGTTAAGGTCTTCAAAATTAATATCGTAAATACTGCGAAATTAAAACTATAAATTGAATTCATCTATAAAAATAGAATCACAAAAAAATGTTTTACAAATTTTAATACGCAATGTATAATAATTATATATATTTTTATATAAATCATATTTAAAAATTCAAGTCTAAAGAATTATTATCCTTCCAATTATTACAAATAAATGTAGACTTATACATCTCCCCCTCTTTTTTTTAGTGATTTTAATGTATTTGAAAAAACGTAGAATAATATATTTTAAATAATTTTCTATGCTATGTATAAGTTTTTCAATCGTATATGAATATAATTATTTTAAAAAGCCTTTACAAAAAAAAAAAAAAAATATATGTAGGTAGAGAATAAATTTAAAAAAACTTATCTTGGTACATTCAATGCATTTCTAAAAATACCGCAAGTTATTAGACAATACTAAAGAGTCTTAGTCGAGATAAATTTATATAAACAGCAAGAGGTTTGAAGTTTGTTATGAATAATAACTACATTTTTCATTTGAATGGCTTGTTTATAAATGTAATTTTTCCTGTTTCAGATGGACCAAGATGAAAATCAAAAATCTGATAACAAACGCCGTCAATCCTTAAGTATTGATAAGGCCGCATTTCTCTTGCTTCGAATAAAACGGGTGTTCAAAAAAAGAAGTCAAAATCAAAACATCGAAAAAAGGTTTAATTAATTATTATTAATATATCTAATCATCATAAATTATTAAAAAAAAAAAAAAAAAAAACTAGAAGAGCATATTAATAATCATAAGTATTAATATCTATAATATAGATTCTATATGGATTTATTATTCATCGATTATCAATTGTATTTAAGTGTATGTGTAAAACCATTTATAAAAAAAAGTGTGTAAAACGTAATCTTTTTCTATACACGAATATTTAAAAAGTAATTTTTTTTTTTTTTTTTTAATTTGCCTTTGAAAGTAAATTATGTGTTTTTAATTTATTATATAAAAATAGTATTTTAATAATAAAATTGAAAAATATGGATTTAAAAAAATTGGCAACAAATTAAAAACTTTTTTTTTATATATAACTATACATAACAAGTAATTAATATTCATTTTAGTTGAGAGCTGATGAGATTTACATTTTTAAAAAAAAATTTACTGTTTGCGTATTAATATATTAAATAATTATAAGTTTTTAGATCGAAAAATAGATATTGAAATAACGGTATAAACGAAAATAATTTCCAAAATAATGGAGTCATATTTTGCTCGTGGACATGTTTTACCGAGCAGGTCAACGAAAATATATTTAGTCTATTGGGAGAGCGGCAATGAGTGCTAAAACTTGATACATCAAATTTTAATGTTGAAGTTTTGTTTTTCCAACTTTCATTTGCATACATATTTCGGGAAATGTAAATAAAATGTTTCGGGAAAATTTAAATTAATCGATGGTGATAAGATAAATAAATAATAATACAGTGAAACGTCTCTTAACGGACACTCTAAATCATTGGTTTTTAATGAGTATGAAGCCACAGATTCTAGATTTAACTAAAATTGGTTCACGGATTCCTTTTTTGTAAATACTTAGTTTTTAATTTTGTCTAATTATGAAAATGAAAAAAAAAATTACGTTATATTTTAATTTGACAAATCTTCCTCTGTTCTAAATGATGGACGCATTTATGACATTTTAATTTTTGAAAATTTTATTGTAAATTAAGAACAATTGCGGAATACCCAATAAAAGTCTACACTATTAAGTTAAATATTATAACATACATTATTATACAGTACAGTACATTTTATCGATATAGTCGTTGGTATATTATTACGTCGACCAAATATGACTAATGTGTAATCGTATTAGATTTAATTGTGTTTGTGTTATCAATACGAACATATTTTTTCATAAATATTTATCTTTAAGATTTAGGTCATTTAATGTAAGAGAAAAGTTATTTTAATTTAATTTATAATTCTAAATGAATAAAAGTAAAATGTCCCCTCCTCTAGTCAACGGACACCTCTGGAAAGCGGATAAAATCGCAACGACTGATACTGTCCAATATTTAGAGGTTTCGCTGCATAATACGTTGGTTTTGATCCGTGCGTGGTCGCCGCCGTCACTGTTTGGCCAATCAATAATCTAAATAAATCGATCTGTTGATCCTCTAGTTCAGCGTACATGTAATAGAGGTAAAATATATAACGTACGATGCGAAAAAATTTAATTTTCCGCTGTTGATACGGCCAACTGTAACATTGTCTTCGGACGTGTTTCGCACGTGTACGATTTCGTTGCGAATCGAATACGGCCTCGGAACGGCACTCGACGGACAGGGGGTGGGGGTTGTACGCGCGCGCACATCGATATTCATTGCGTACGAAGTACAATCGATAGAGGTGATGATACGACAACGAAACGTTTGGGGTTTCATTTTGCCCCAGCGATCATATTAGCAACACGTGGCGAACCCGTCCGGGAGACGATATCGCAGCTCTTGCCGTTTGCGTATCCTGGCCCCGTGCGCGAATAACCCTTTACAGGGGAACTCTTCTGCGCTCAATCGCATTACCGTACAACTTTTAAGTGCACACGAGCACGTACGTTTCGCAACAACGGCGAGCGTGCCGGGGGACCATGGTCGGCCATCGGGGATCGCGCGCGATCACTCGGTAAATCGTTACCAACGGGTTCGCCGGACGTGCTCGTTTAGTCGACGGATATTCGTCCGTTAACCGCGCTTGGTTATCGAAACCGACGAAAATTATTGTTCAAATCGACGGTGATCACTGTTCTTATGAATTTTTTTCGCGTTATAATTTATCAATTTCACTTGTCGCCGTCGAACCAGGGCTGGATCAAGAGGGTGACGGGTCGATAAGTGCAAAGGGGCCACAACATGTTTCGAATCGTTGACTGACAAAGCACTGTTTTATCGATCAACTGTGACTGTGCTACGGGAATAGGTGGAACAATGCACGATCAGTATGTCAATTAAACATTTATTGCAAATTACTAAAAGCGAATAAAAATAAAAAATGTGATCGTTTTGGAAAAATGGGCTTCATCAAATTTAACAGCTCCCTCATTCTTATGTTATGACCATAACCTGGGCCGTCCGGCGTTCGATATTGTTGTAAACGTATCGTCAAAGCCATGTACTAGTAACCGCTGCGGTTAAGCCGTCGGGTCGTCTCTTCGGGTACACTACCGCCGTTCCGCGTCTGCAAAGCGTACCGGAATTGCTCATCGGAATACCTCATCGAAATGGTTCATCCATTTATTTATTACGTCCGTGTCGCTTCATCGGTGTTTAGTCGCGCGTACGGTCGCACCATTGGTCACGTCCATCGATCCCTGAAGCCGTCAAATAAAAGCCGTTTGCAACGAACGCCGAATGATCAATAGCCAGCTCGCAGGGATCCGATTTGACGGGAAGTAATGTTTTTCGACGTGGCAGACAGAAACGTAACAGCGTAGTGCTGCCGCCGGAGGGGGTGTTTTTTTTTCCCCCTTTATTTTTTCTAACGTATACTCGATTAGCGAAATAGGATTCCGTTCGCATTCCACACGCCGACGCTCGTCGTAACGCGATTTCGTCGAATCCGTTGCTATAAACTGCCGTGTTCGTATTGCCATCACTCCTGCGGCGGCCGATCTCGCCAGCATTTATTATCTTCATAATTTCGCGCGTCGTGTGCCCGACGAATGTTGATCGATGACATTTTATTTTTTTATTTCCCCCCCCTCCCCCCCGTAACGCGCAAGACAATAATTGTCTTAAAACAATTATTATTATCGCGTCCAGAACAAGCCTCGTGTCGTTAAAATGCTTTGCAATAATTATTAATGGTCCACGGTGTCCGCGTGCGGTGTTTGATCTCACGCGAGACCGCGTGTCACGTGCACTCTATTATCATTGTTATTATGAAGTTTTGCAAACTAATAAAACTTGTTGACAACTGATGACCATAAAAGTTCAATAGATTAAAATGATACTGCATTTCACAGTTCGCTCAAAAATAAGTTCTGAAATTCAAGTCAAATGGTGCGCGTCAGTTAGGTACTCTAAATATTTATTGTGTACATAAAACCGATAGATTTAAAAATAAAAAGGAAAAAAAACTATGGAATCGTGAAAATCCAAATATTTTTATACTCGTCGGTTAAGCTCCACTGAATAAATTATTAATGTTTGCGGAGCAAGATTTAAATGTGAATGCTGAAAACTTAAATTATATGAGTATATAGAGTTAATGTTTTTTTTTTTTTTTATAAAGTGCCCTATTTTATTTATACGTTCCCCAATTGCATTATTATTGCATTCACATAGATGTTCAATGTACTATAATAATTTGTAGTATGTATTGTATATGTATATATAATACATTAATTTGGTTTTATTTCAAAATATGTACGACAAAAATGTTTATTTTAAATATTATTGTAGGATACTTGACGAGATTGATAAGAGGATAGTTAAAAAAAACAAAATTAAATAAAAAAACAAAACAATTTTCATGATTTTAATACGAATCAATGGAAATAAAAAGTCACTGTTATAACTGCTATTTGTATTTCATGACATAGTGTGGTCTATTTTATTGATACGTAAAAATGTTTTTGATTTTTCTTGTGAACTAATAATGTTGGTTTACACAATAACGCGTTAGTTATTATACAGTTATTTAATTTAAAGTAAAATAATAATAATTTTACATGATAATCATATTTATTAATCATTAGACACAAATAAACACGTGTTCGTGTACGTGTTTTATGTTATAGAGCAATATTATTATTAACAAACGTGCAAAATACTATTTTAATTGAAGTATTTTCCCAATGCGGTTGGTAATATAAATTAATAAATATTGAGGGGTGATTTTCGATGTAGTTTTCAACCGAGTATATCGTTGTAGTTGTACGTTGTAATTATGCATAAATTATCGATCACTTGTATTAGATAGTCTTTAGAATAAGATATAACTCAGAGAGATAAAAACACATATTTATTTTATATTAAAACACATTGTATGATATTACAGATTACTATCATTCAGTTTAATAATAAATATACATATATCGATAATGGACTATAAATAAAATAATAAATTAATAATAATAATAAAATAATGGACTGAAGATAATGGATTTACACTCTGAATTTTCGGCTCTGTCCAAAACTAGAATCTTACATTTTAATACTTCATATTATAATTAAATATAGCATGTAACTCAAACTACAAATAATTATAAATAATAATTGTATAACAATATTTATAATTTAAATAATTACATTTATAATATTGAACCTCGAATTCATAATAATAAGAAAACCTATGCTAATGATTTGCTATCTTTTTAATTTAAATATTTTTCCATAATTCCACTTATTCTTTAAAATGCTATCTGATTCATACATATTAAAATCCATAAATTTACATAAGTAGATTGTGCAATCGTTAAGAAATTATTAAATTGTATTCGGCAGTTTTAAAAGCATTACTTTAAGGGTTAAAGTTTATTGAATGTGGATGAAAAATATTTAGAAATTAAAAAATAGAAACGTCTTGAGCAGCCTCAAGCGTGTATTTGATAATAACGTGGTATCGTTATATTGAAAGAAGTTATTGTATTTGATTGTGTATGATAGTTTGATTGGTAATAATAATTATGTGATTTTAGCAAAGAAAT